ACATCATATCAAGTATTCATACTTTTGACATCATCATACTTATCAAGCAATGCACACATATTCACAATATGTTCTCATGCATTATTCACAATATTGCATACAATCAATATGCATTCACAATCCAATACCATCACCATATTTTTCAAGCAATGCACACATATTCACAATATGTTCTCATGCATTATTCACAATATCGTGCCAAACGTCAACGAACCTCATCATAAAGCATCATGCATTTTTAATCAATCTAAACAATGCATATATTTATCAAAAGACCACATTTATCAAACAATGCACACATATTCACAATATGTTCTCATGTATTATTCACATATTATCACATACAATCGCATAAAAATCATTATGCATTCACATCATCATGCCAAATGACAACCGAACGCTCTAATTATTTAAGCCTCACTTACTTAAAATAATTAATCTCGATTAATCAGTAAAATTGGCTAAAAGTCGGCTAAAAATAATATTTCTTTTCACCAAGTTATAGAACATATTATTAGCTTCAGTTTGATATAAAGAACGACAAAATCCGATAAACGGTGAATAAGTTATGGATTTTCAAAGTTTCGAAAAAAATTAATATTTTCTCACACCTACAGCGTTAACGGGTTAACGCATACCGTTAACCGGTTAACGACTCCAAAAACCCATTTTTTGGCCATTTTTAATACCGTTAATCGGTTAACCCATAGTGTTAACCGGTTAATGCCTGAAAAACTTGGAAAAATAGCTACGGGTTTGCACCAAAAACCCGACCAATTTAATTATTTTTTTCCCGATTAAATACCTACTCATCATTACCAATCATATAGTAACAATTTAGGATCATAAAACGCAAATTCTACGACTTCCGATTTTCATCCAAAATCTTAACCCCCAATTGTCCAAAAATGGAAAAACTCACAAAGTCAACCAAATTCAATCAAACAAAATCCAATAATCCCGGCTAAATATTACCCGACTAAACTACGCAATTTATTTCCAATTCTAACCGTTCAAAACTCGATTATACCGATTAAACCATTTATGCCATAGAATGGGAAAATGAAGAAAACCACCCAAACAATCCAAACACACATACATAATCATATACATTGTTAGGATAATAACATTCCACACACTTACCTTGATTAATCGGAAGCTAGAGGCCGTTCTCGAGCTTTCCAAGCTTTCCCCTCTTTTTCCTTCTCTTTTCTCCTCTTCCTCTTTCTTTCTCTTCTCTTTCTCTTATGTTTCTATCTTTTTCTTTCCACTTTCTCTTATATATCTTTCCCTTCTATTTCTCTCCAATATATCTACTAATTCTTTTAAATAATCATCCAATAATTTCAATAAATCAATTAATTAACATAAATAATTAATTAATGAAAATTAGGTTGTTACACACAACACAAGAGAATATAACAGAACAACATAAAAACACAAACTACTGTCATGCTCGCTGGCTCACTCGCCTAGCGAAGCATCAGCGAAGGCTCGCTACTCGCTCGCCCAGCGAACTCCCTAGCGAAGGCAGACAGTGGCTACTGGAAGCACTCGCTACCCAGTTCGCCTAGCGAAACATCAGCGAATGTTCGCTATTCGCTCGCCTAGCGAAAGTGCTGGCGAATGTCTGCGATTTCACAAAAACCCCACTGTTCAGAATCGACAACACTCTCCGAAATCGCCTGATTTTACTCAAACCAGATCCCATATCACTATTTCAACATTCCACGACTTAACTACATAATCTATTCTAGATTCCACCTGATAAAACCTCAGCTCTACCGATTAACTCATTTTCGGCTTAAAATGATAAACTACCGAAAACCCTAAATCATCCAAACAACCACATGCAACAAACCTATCTTACCATCAACAATTCAGAATTTCAACACATAAACAAACATGATCATTAATCTACTGTGGGATTGGGGGAAATCCCTCTACCTAGAATTCATGCAACATACCGATTTCGACCCGTTTCTCCCCCCTTACCTCGATAACTTGCTCAAGCTGTTGAAGACTCTTGCTGAAACGATGATTTCTAGCTTCCCCTTCCTTCCTCCTTGATTCTTCTCCTCACTCTTCTTCCAATTCACCGTGTTCTCTTCTTTCTTCTCCTCTTGATCGTGTTTTCCTTTTCTTCCAACTTTTTTTCTCAAACAGCCCCTAATACCCCTTTTCTTACTATTTCTTTTATTCCATTAATAATAATAATAATAATAATAATAATAATAATAATAATAATAATAATAATAATAATAATAATAGTATTAACAATAATAATAATATTAATAATAATAATATTAATAACATTACTATTATTCATTAAACTATCATTATCATTAATAATTTTATTATTAATCTTAAAGTCCAAAGTTATCAATTAACCTCTACACTTAAGGGCACCTCCCCGCACTCGACACAACCCCACGAAACACACCACAATTAAAATAACACAGAAAAACTAGATAATTAAAATGGGCGTTACACTAACCATGAGTAAGCGTAACTAAAATCTCTTTGTTGGGGTTAGATGTAATTATTATATTCGTGTACTAAATATGTCATGCCATTCTATGTAATTCTACTCATGTTGTAATATTGACGACTCTTCAATCTTAAGGTTTGTTGTAGCTTTGCAACCTAAATCTTGTTTTCATGGTGTGACTTGACATCGAAATGTGTTTGTCATTACTAGATCCAAGATAATCATTTATTGGATGCTAATGCCTACATATATGGTTAGGTTTTGATATCCACATGTACTGTAGCAGGATCAGTGTGAAGTCTCGCTATATCACGATTGTTGGGACTTAATGCTCTGTGTTGGTTAACATTTTGAGATATCAACTATTAGGTAATACATTGATCTCACGACGTGGAGACTGAAAGGAGATACGAATGAGAGTAACACGTGGTAATGTTATTAGCTGAGTAAAAGAGCGTATTATTGACATGTGGACGTGCATAATAGATACATTAATGAAATCTACCCTCAACAAGTTTTTTCATTGTTAACACAAAAGTCTCTATTTTACTTTCTGTCATTTATTTTATGTTTTTTACTTTCACTCTTAACAACTATTACACAACCTTTTTCTTTACTTAAAATCTTAAAAGTTATTGAACAATCATTAAAATCATTGGTCTTTATGGATATGATAATTATAAAACTTACTTTTACTCCTAATATTAAATTATGACACCATTGCTTGAAAGTGGTGCTAGTTTTAAAAATATAGCATAAGTTTTGTTATTTCAAGTATTGTTTATATACGTTTATATGTTAATAGCTGTATATTTTATTTATAAACACTAACTCATATAAATATGTTTTAATTTAAAAAGGGTTAATATATATTTCCCCCTGTCATATAGGCGTTTTTTGAAAAAAAACTCCGTAAAAAAAAAGTTGCTTTAAATTCTCTTAACATTTCATTTGAAGATTTTCATATTTTCATATTTTTTATTTTAATTTATTATTATTTTAATGCCACATTGACATTTGTTTTATTATTTATTTTAAGATTTGAAAATTTAAAAATACAAAACTCTAAAATGTAAAGACGAACAAATCTCTAAAATGTAAAGACTCTTACTCATGACCTCCCATCACCAACCAAGATGCACTACTACTGAACCATGTTATTCTTTTTAATATGTTTTGCTTATAATTATTTACCTTATTTCATTTTTCTATTATATTTGTTTCATTTTATTAAACTATTGTTTATTAAAACTACAGTATATTTAAATAATTTTTAAATGCTACAGTATATGATATTAGTTTATTAAAATCAGTTTTATTTAAAAGTTTTATAAACAAGTTATTTTATTAATATTAAAACTACTTTTTATAAACAAGTTCTATTATTAAAAATTATTTTTAAAGTGCTCACTTTTTCTCTCTTTCAAACGCACAAATAAAGTCTTAGCCAAATAAAGTCATTTTGGAGGGAAATAACAAAAGTTGAAACCTTTCATATCAAAAGCATGAAATTAAAATTTAGAAGATTAGACTACACTAAAAGATTATGCACAAAACATTAAAACAAACCTACATCAAACTTTTTGTTTTTTTTTTCCTTCAGCAAAATATATAATACTATTCTCAATCATTCAAAATTATAAATATAAAACAAACAATAATATTTTGAAAAAATAAATAATTTTAAATTGAAGCTTTAAAATCAATATAGCATGGAGCAATTGGAAGACACACATACAAAATTTGACATAGTTCTTACACAAATAATTTTAATATATATATTTTAAAATAATTTTTTAGAAATTATAATATATTAAAAATATATAAACTTTTATTCTTTTACAATAAATTATTTAAAAATATTTTTTATACCAAAAGAATGAGATAAAATATTGAAAATTTATATTTAAAAATTAAATTATAAACTCATTTTTAAATGCATTTTATTTTTTTTCATAACTATATGTACACTTAAAATTATTTTTAGAATAAAGTTTGCAAAAATTTATTCTAAAATTTATTATTTTTTATTAAATTGAAAAACAAAATTTGATAATTTTTTTATTGAAATGAAAAATATTTAATTATCTATATACAACAAAGTGTTACTAGAAGTATTTAATGGTAATTTATGCCTTAAGGACATAGGATAAAAAACTTTTTATAATAAATTTATATTAAAAATATTAATTTAAAAATTAATTTTATATTTTAATTAAAGTTTTAATAATTTCTAAAATAATATTTTTTAATTAAGTTAAAAGTTAACACTACCCTAAAACAAATAAAAAATAAATAAAATATAAAAAATGGTCTTTTTTTACGCTCTCCAACGTTGTGTAACATGATTATTCATTTCTGTTTCTTTGTTTTGTTCTTTCAGAGAGCGCTGTCTCTCTGCAACAAGAAGCCATCCACCACCGGCCTCTCTCTCTCTCTCTCTCTCTCTCTCTCTCTCTCTCTCAATTTAGGGCTCAATACTATTTTGTGGGTTAATTTATATTAGGTTATGTCGTTGCAACAAGGTAGTTCGGGGAATAATGCGGTGGATTTCGACCTACCCGACGAGATTCTGGCGGTTATTCCGACGGACCCATACCATCAGCTGGATCTCGCTCGGAAGATAACTTCCATGGCTATTGCTTCTAGGGTTTCGTCTCTTGAGTCTGATACCGGTCGCCTTCGTCAGAAGCTTCTAGAAAAGGACAGAGTTATCAATGACCTAGAGAACCGCGTCTCTACTCTCACTCGCGCTTCTCAACAGGCTAACTCTTCCCTTAATACCGCCATTGAAGAAAATGCATGTCATAGATACTCTCATTTACTTAATTGATTTTGTTTGTTTATTAAACTATGGTTAGAATTAGATTCTTTTTTTTTTTTTTTATTCACTGGCGCTTGTTATGGTTAATAGTAGAGGTATCTGTCATTTTGTTGTATACAGAAAGAAAAAGGATAGTTTTATTCTTGTGTTCTAGTGTCATTCATTAGTAATTAACAGAGAAGATTTTAAGGAACCTAACATTGTGACTCGAAGAGAGGATAAATCATGTATCTTGTATGTCTAGTGTCAAACGTGTGTCGGAGTTCAGCACCGGTATGTCAGTGGCCCATGTGATTCCGTTTGATTACTCTTAATTTCTTAAATTATTACTGATACTTACATGGCTGAAGTGGAGTAGGGCTTTAGGGGTTTCATTTTGCGCAAATGTACTGCTCAAGCTGAAGAGAAAATTTTATAAGACTGCGACCTTGCGATATTATATGGGACAGAATGTTGGGCGGTTAAGAATCAACATGAGAATAAAGTAAGTGTAGCAGAGATAGGATGTTGCATTGAATGTATGGTAAGACTAAACATGATAGGATTAAAAATGAAAATATTAGAGAGAGAATGTTGAGGTATCACGTATAGTAGAGAAGATGGTGAAAAATAGACTTCGGTGGTTTGAGTATGTAGAGAGTAGATCAGATAGAGAGTAGTCAAATAGCTAGAGGTAAAGGAAAACCTAAAAAAAACTATAAGAGAAGTTATTAAGAAATATCTTAAGATTGACTAGAAGAATGCTTTTGGATAGAACATCATGGTGGATGTTGATTCATGTAGCCGCCGACCCACTTAATAGGATAAGGTTTGATTGTTGTTGTATTTTAGTGCTATTCATTAGTAATTAACAAGAAGTTTTTAAGGAACCTAACATGGTGACTGAAAGAGAGGATTGATTAGGTTTCTTGTATGTCTAATGTCAAACACGTGCCACTATCCAACATATGTACAATACTGACACATGTGATTACATTCAATTACTCTTATTTGTTATTATTGATGTTTATGTGTCAGGGCCTTATGTTTGTGTCTATGTCGGTCTTGATATACTTGGTGCTTTTGATTGCAAGTTTGGTTGGAAATTTTGAAATTTAAATATGTTGGACATATTAATGCAATGGTATATGATTTTGTATTTCTACTTTTCGGTTATAGGTAAAGCTTACGAAGGAGAGGGATGAATTGGCAGCAACAGTGAAGAAGTTAAGTCGTGACTTTGCTAAGGTAACTGTTTATTTCATTTCTTTATCCGTCTTGTGTGATTTTGGTTTATTTGACATGTGTCTGGTTTCTCTTTCCTTTCAAAATTTTCACCAGCTTACATATTTTGTGCCAGAGATTCATTTTCCCTCAATTGCTTTGGATGTTTTACACTTTTGTAACATAGTGATGTGTCTAATATATGTTTACAAGTCATTGATTAGAAAGATAGAATAGTAATATCAAATCCTTGGTTGTGATTTTATTTGCATGAATGGTTTATTCTAATGGTGTCATTACTTGGTACTTCCTAAAAAATGTTGCAACTTTTCTACCATAATAATAATGGAGTTTGTTCTGAGTAACTGTGTTTCTATAGATTGAAATAACTCATGCTAGGTTATGATTTCAGGTCAAGGGTTCAAATCCTTGACCACTTCATATTATACTGATGATAGTGGCTTGAAAAATATTTTGGTCGCAGATGTAAAAAATACCAATACCAATGCTGCATGAGCATGCAATAGCCAACTCTTATTGTAGACTAATAATGCTCTAACTGATATCAATGAAATGCTTTTATTTTTTTATTTTTTTATTTTTTATTTTATTTTATTTATTTATCTGCATGCATGTTTTTTCTTGTTTCTGTTATGTATTGGTAATCTATATACTCTACATCTTCTTTTCCTTTTCTATTTTATAGTTGGAGACATTCAAAAAACAACTGATGCGCTCACTAGCTGATGACCATCCACCGGTTAGACACCAATCGACTTAGTCCGAATTATTCGTCACTATTTATTTCTCCTCTGAATCTAAACAGATTTTTCCTGTGTTTTTTTAATTACTCTCGGGGCAGCAAGCTGAAACCATAGATATTAGAACCTGTGACCAAGCAGTTCCAAAAGCGTATCCTGATAAGGGTAATTCTCACCACGCATAATTCTATTATTGTTTTCATAAAGATAGCCTTGTTAGCCAATTGAGTGTTGTATGTTCACATTTCTTTGTTATTTATTTTTTACAGATGATGATGGAAATGACTATACGACACATCATTCACACGGTGGCTCTGCAGATGTGGGTAGAACAATTGAGGAAGGTAAATGATTATCTATTTATTAGGAAAAGTGGGTTTTCAAGTGTTTTATAATCTCTTATGAGACCCGTATCGATTTCTTTTCTTTTGTCCTATAGCTTCCAGGTATTCAGGGCAAAAGTTTTCGTTGACCCCATACATCACACCGCGTCTTACACCAACTGAAACTCCAAAAGCGATCTCGACGACTGGTTCTCCTAGAGGATATTCTGCTACTGTATCACCCAACCAAACATCTGGTGCCACCTCTCCGTCCAAAACTTCATATGATGGGCGGTCATCTCTCTCTTCATGGTATCCATCAAGTCAGCAGTCATCAGCAGCAAATTCTCCACCTCGAGGACGATCAATTCCAGGTTTTCAAGCCTCCATGATGTATTCATTATTACATTCATTTCATTTGTTCATCCCTCATAGTTTTTTAAATTTGTTAGGTCGAACTCCAAAGATTGATGGAAAGGAGTTTTTCCGTCAGGCCAGGTGACTTTGTTTCTCCCTTCTGCAAAGTTACTTTTTACTTCAATTTATTTAAGAAATCAATGGAAATAATGAAATATATCACTTTTTTCAGGAACCGCCTGTCATATGAGCAGTTCAGTGCATTTCTTGCTAACATAAAGGAATTAAATGCTCAGAAACAAACACGAGAGGTAAAGAAAATTTTACTGGATTTCGAACTGAAATTGTATCCAAGCAGTTGTTATTTGTTAGTCACTGTTCCACTTGTTTTGTTCTCTTTTAGGAAACTTTAAGAAAGGCAGATGAGATATTCGGCTCAGATAATAAAGATCTATACCTATCTTTTCAAGGATTGCTTAACCGAAATGTACGCTAGGACTGAAAGTAGCATTGCTTGTAATTATGAGTTGGTAAGCAAATCTTTGATCACCATTTATTTCATTCTTGTCTTGTTTATTTTTTGTACGAAGATCAATTGCTGTTATTAATTGATGTTTAATTGAATATATTCAGGTCACTTAGCCTGCTCAGCACTCTTGGGTGCATTTTTCCGACTGGTTCTCTTTGATTCATTGAATCAAAATCCTACTAAGCATTTCTATGAGCTATTTAATTCGAGATAGTACATTTGATCTACGATTTTCATTTTATGAATATTTTTACATTCCCTGTTGCATGTTGTATATAATGTCAAGAAAAGCTAAAATGCTGATTGAATTTTAAAATATTAAGGTTTATTGTACTCGTTTGTATCGGTATAATGTGAGTTTTAGACAAATCTTGGAATCAGAATGTTTGCTCAGTTAAATCAAGTTTCTTGGTGTTGCATCTGACACAACCCAATTCTTTAGCAAGTATAATTTTGTAACAAAATTTACGGAAAAAAAAAAGATGATCTTAAACAAGTTGCAGGCATAGTTTTACAGCCACCAAGACTTTAGGAATTTGCCATCCTTTATTTTGGTTTTCACCACCAAGATTCAGTCCATTTTTGACATCAAGTGGTTTTAGCCTCCGATTACAGTTGCTGGAGTTGAACTCTGGTCTTTTTTACCAAATTCAGGGTCAATCACAATGGACAATTGAACCACTTGAGTAGAATCAATTAATGATTGGTTTTATTTTAATTATTTAACTTGAGGATAGGATCAGGTGTAGTAATTTCAAATTGGACACAATGCTATTTGAGTGTTTTGATCATAAGTACTTTTGTTAATCATTTGATAAACTTATTTTTTATTAACATGAAGTTTTGATCTTTATTTAAAAAACAGTTTTCTGGTCTTCATGTTTTAAGTTTTTGAGGTTTGGTTCCCCAATCCATTTTGGGGTTCAAGATGGACAAGTTTAATATAACATGTATCTGTAAGCAAAATTGACATTAAAATGAGATGAGGATCAAGACTCAAGAAAATCTGAAATTGAGACCAAACAAAATACTTTTAAAATCGAGGAATTATTATTATTTTTTAAATCCATCACTTAAAGCTATTTTATTTAAATTGGTTACAAAATTGATATCAATTTCACTTCAAATTTCAATATACACATTTTTTGTTTTCAAATGTATATCAAATCTTCAATAATAGATTCTAAGCACACTATTTTCGTCTCAATGCAAAGATAATGTGTAACTCTAAAATTGTTGTAATAATTAATTTTAAGTATGTTTTTCGAGTTTTCGATAAATGTTAGAGTTTTAGTGTAAACGAGTAGGAATCAATGATTAGGGATAGAAATGTGTAGAAATCACATGTAACATAGTTTATACTTAGTGTATAACTTGTTTGTTGGATGAAAATGGCGATCATAACATTTTTTCTTCAACTTTCATGAGGTACATTCGCCATTGACGCGACCTCTGTGTTGTAGAACATTCCGGAGATGCATCTCCGAATATTTTCAATATTTCATATACTTTGGAAAATTTCAGAGATGCATCTTCGAAATTGTTCAACGTTATAGTTTGATGGTGTTTTCGGAGATGTATCTCTGGAATTTCCCGCAGTATGTTTTTTTTATTTTTAATTTTCTTGTTTGTGTGTGTTGTTTGCGTGCACTAATGATATGCCTTACTTTACCTTATTGTAAGTGCTTTTGATTGACTGCATTTTATGGCAAAACATTAATGTATGAGTAAATGTCATAACTGATGTTAGGACATACTTGAAGAGTGTTATGCAAGGAAAGCTATGAGTAAGTTGAGTTGGATGTCATACTGAATGTCATGACACTGATCGTATGACATCAGGCGCGCAGAGTTTGTTTTTTTGGTATTCAAAATGAGGAAGCTCAGGCTAGAATTCAGGAAACTTTATAGAAGCTCAAGCTGGAAGTCAGGAAACATTTGAGCAGCCCTGGCGAAATTAAATGTACCTGACTTAAGTGGTAAGTGCATCCTTTTGAAGAGAGGTTTGGGTAAACCTAATTGCTGCACCAAGGCCCAAAGTAGGTCTGCTATTATAAATAGAAGAAGGATCATTCCAACTGATCGACACATAGAGGAGAGAGCATCTAGTGAGAAATCATAGAGTGTGTTTGTGAGTGAAGAACCATGTTCTTCACGTGAGTCTAGGAGTCTTAGGATTCCTTGTGTGCCAAGCAATTATATGCTATATAATTGATGTGGTTATTGTGTCTGAACAGGTGTGTTCATTGAAGTCACTCAAAGCTGTTAAGCAAGAGTGTGAGTCACTTGATCCAAGCTGTGAAGCAAGATCAAGGTGTATTTGAAGTGAGTCTTCATATCTCTTTTTGTAATTGTGTATTTGTATCATTGTAGTGTGATTGAGGGGGAGTGAGTGAGAATACTCAGGTCTAGAGTGTCTCTAGGTTGAAGTGTCATTGGGTAGGTCTTAAGTGAGGAGTGCAAACTGGGATTGTTTGGCTCTGAATTAATTCTACTGATAGTGAATTTCTTCCCTGGCTTAGTAACCCATAGATGTAAGTGTTGTTGACACTGAACTGGGTGAACAATTACTGGTGTGATTTACTGCTTTCCTTTACAGCTTTTTAATTATTCCAATAATCTGTGTTACAGTGGATGTCATAACATCCATAATAACTTCCATCGTGCTTGCCAGAATTTCACTTACAAGCATAATGACTGACAGAGTTGACAAATTAAAACATGGCAGGGTTGCTCAACATACATCCATTCAGTGGGAGCGGAGCCAGCGGGTTCTAGAGGCTCCATGTACATCTGATCAAGCAGACATGTCTACTTCTAGGGCTCATGCTTCACCTTTGACCACTCCACCTTCTTCTTCTTCCCGTAGGAGACGAGATTCACCATCTGATACGTCACTTCCTCCATCCTCTCGCAGACATCAAGACTCACCAGTGCCACCTCTTACGGATTATGTTATTGTTCCATACCCACTTCCCATTGATGATGTTGTTGATCCAATGCCACCTTCGGAGCGTGAGGCTACTGGGGCTGCTGAGACAGAGGGTTTTGGAGGAGGTCTATATGAATTTTCTTTACTTCATCTGTATTCAGACCACACTGTCAGACATATCTGGGACAGAGAGGTAGCATTAGTTGGTTCTTTATTTTTGATGCGTTAATTTTAATTGCTAACATTGATAACTTCTGACATTTGTTATTCATGACATTGATTATTTTTGAAAAAATTCAGGAGCGTGATCGCCAGAAGTTTCTTAACCACAAGAGAAAGATTGTTGTATTGCCTCAGTAGGTGGATGATTGGTTTCAGACGGTTATGTCCTTATTTGACCTGAAGAACCTATGCATGACCAATTACACTTTAGTCAACCACATGATGCTTAACGCATTAGTGGAGAGATGATACTCTGAGACCTCTTCGTTTCATCTCCCGCATGGTGAGATGTCTAACACACTTGACGATGTCTCGTGTTTGTTACATCTTTCAATCAAGGGGAGATTTCTCGATCATGGGAGGATGACCAAAGACGAGGCATTCGAGATGATGGTAGAACATCTAGGGGCTGATACATGGAAGGCGATGAAGGAGGTGGATAGGACGATGGGTGTTTATGCTAGATTAGAGTTCCCTAAGAACATATGTGATGATGAGATCCTTAGGGCACAACAGACTCATGGTGATGATGAGCATGTGGCGGTACACATGACTCGTGCTTTTAGGGCATACTTTCTTTTTTGGTCGGCACTTTCATTTTTGTGGACACGAGTGCCACTTATACTGATGTTGCATACCTCCGGTCCTTCTTGGATCTCACTCAGATTCATGAGTATAATTGGGGGTGGCTTGCCTGATTCTATCTTTATTTGAAGTTGAGAGAGGGATTTCGGTGGAAGACGAAGCAGGTCACTGGCAGCATGACACTACTGGTGGTAATATTTCTTGATCCTTGAATGTATTTTTGTAATTTTCATTTCATATTTGTGAAACCATTGCTGATTATTCGTTTGTTCCAAACGGTTTTTAAGGCTTGGATCCTCTAACACTTTCTGTGCATCGCTGGCTAGGCGAGTGTGGCTGAGTACACTGAGGATATGCCACGTGCATGTGCTTTTATCCCGCCCAGAGGGGAACTAGACGGTCGATCCTTTTAGATTCTATCATGATCGTTTGGTTGCTGAGGGCATGCACTTCAACAACTACGTGGATCACCGTCAGATGCAACTATTTGACGAGATAATGCTATACTCCGGATGGTTGGCCTGCAGATCGCGTATCACTTCTCCTCATATTCTCGAGCGCATCATGCTGCAGTTCGGGTACACCCAGACCATCCTTAGACACCCTGTTATCTCTGCTCCTCCTGCCTTAACCTGTAGACAGATAGATGGGATGTTTGCTGATTATGAGATTCATCTGGTACCAAAGGAGACACGACCTACCATAGCCCCGAACGACTAGATTTACATCGAGGGGTACATCAAATGGTTCTTCAGGGTGTTACATCCGTACATGGTGCATGCTGCTCTAAGAGACCCACCGAGACCAGCTCATCAAAAGATAATAGAGGAGGAGCAACTCAGCTAGATCATACCGATGTTGTCTTACCTAGTTGTCGTTGTATAGTAAAGATTGTACTGACAGACATTGACGAGGGTATCTTCCCTGGCGGGTCTAGTGTCTGGCGAGTCTTGGATGCCATCATGGCGGAGGCACATGTGGCACTGATGTATGTCATACCCTAAATTTGTCCTACTTGTATATATAATTTTCATTTTTGTACATTCGCCCACTAACCATGATTCAAGAAAATACAAAAATATGTTGTTTCTACTTGCTGTTCAAGATTGGATCCAAAGTGACTCAGGAAAATTAGACATGTTCTCGAGGAATCAGGTTCTCATATGGTACTAAAGGTATTTATGCCATCCAAATTCAGGGTGAACCTGGGCCAAGGTGCAAGAATTCT